CATCAAAATATCATCATTTTTTATTGATAGATCTAATAGAGAGAGAGAAAGACAGACATTAATTTGTTTTTCCATTTATTTATGCATTCACTGGTTGCTTCTTGTATGTGCCCTGACCAGAGATTGAACCTGCAACCTTGGCTTACCTAGATGACACTCTAACTAATGGAGCTACCTGGCCAGGGCCCTAATTTTTGAGTAGTAAGTACTAACAAAACACTTAAGTGCCTACAATATTACAAAGAATTTAGATAATAAAAGTTCAAATCAGAAATCATATTTTAAAATAATATATAATAATGATGAATCATTAAGAAATTAAGGGCTGTGGAAAATAACTAATGATAGGACAAACTCTTTGACAAGGAATTTAAACTAAGATTTCAAGAAAGTAACCAACTTGTACTGAGCTTCCATTTTATTCTAGTCAACTGTGAAAGGCACTTTACATATAAAAATGTCACCCATTTAGGTAGGGTGATATTTTTAGATATTATTGTTGTCATTTTGCACAAGGGGACAGCAGGCTCAGAAACACTGGGTCACTTGCCCAAGGCCACTTTGACAAAGCTGGAATTCTACCTTGGATGTATGTGTCTGCCATCAAAGCGGCTACTCACTTTTGATATTAATCTGTAGTTTCTTTAATTTGAATGGATCTTTAAGATGAAACTTCCTCTCTGAGAGTAATTATGAGGATTAACTTGAAAAAGTTGAAGAAAAGACCTTAATTCATTACAGGCACTTAGTTTTCCTGCTCCTCAACTTAGATTTCCAGCTACTAATCGTTAATGCTTACACACAGCCCCTGCCCTGGATTAACATGGAAGACAAGGAAAGAAATGAAGAACTACAATTTTTATTCTTATTCCTTTATGGAATAGTATGTACTATTTGCTATTTAACTGGCATTTTGATAACATCTATTCATAAAAAAGTTACTCAGTTACACAAGGGTTACATTTTTCAAAAAGTTTGTTTTGGAAGACTCATTAGGAAGTAACAGTGCTGAACATTAGACATTCTATTAGGCTTTATGGAATTTACCTTATGTCTGAGCAAAATGCTTTAGAACATGTACTTGATTCTCAGTATTAAAATTATCTGAGGAATAGGAACTATGGAAAAGGAACTAGGTTTTATTTTTGGACAGCCAAATCTCATAAAGCTCCAAGCCTGGCTACCCTGATTTGCCACCATTTAGGACCGCTTCCACTGAGCATGGTGCTACCAGCTTGTACTGAAAGTAGCTGCTGAAGAAACTGTCTTGACAGCAAATTATTTATACACCATAAAGGAAAGTGAACAAAATATCTTTCAGCTCTTAGTAAAAAGAATTTATTTATTTTACAAATGCATTGTTTGGTTAACTGACTGATAGTATATAATTTTAATCATGTAACCAGTTTTTCTTCCTTCTTCACACATACTAGAACACTCCAAGCAACATTTCCCACTCATTGCGGTAATACTAATACACATTTTGTTTGCCAGCCTTACCTGTGAATTCATCTTATTTTTCGTATCCTTCTTTTATTGTTACTCTATTTTACTCAAATGATTATTTATCAAGATGTTTCAATAAATAGAAAGAAAAACCTGAACAAAATAATACAAAATTACATTCAAAAATTGAGCAAAAACATATTGCTGGTATTTTTCCTTTGCCAGATTGTACACTTCATAATATATATTTCACTATAAAGAAATACTTCAGGTCACTTATTTGAGTCTTAGGCATATTAAATTTCATTAGTACTTATTTTCCCAAAAAAAAACACTGTTGAGGTATATCTAACCAACATCACTGCTAGCATCTTCCATGACTCATTTGTAGCAAAAGCAATGCCATAACAATATGATTAAGAGACTGAAGAGAGATATAAAATACTGGGTAGGGTAAATAATATCACTAACATTTTTTAATTTATCAAGGTATAAATGATAGTATCTTATATTTTTAATTAAAATAATTGGTCATATATGCATTATGAATAATTCATCTAAATAGAGAAACAATAAATATAATGTTTTACAACAAGAGAAATGAAGTGTCTGGTATTAAGGAATTTATAATTGTGAATTTGAAACATGAAGCATAATAATTATTCATAAAGTATATTATCTAGAAGAGTAATTTAAGCATTAATTAAAGAAAATATAATAAAAAATATCTGGAAGGCTCATCCATAGGCTTTTTAATCTAAAGCTTAGCTTTTAGATTAGAATTTACAAAGATAAAAACCAGATAATGCCAGGATAAGAGTAAATTATTTTAAATAGTTGCTTTTATATTTTTTTCCTCAAGGCAAAGCTCCTTGTGGAATTCACTTTGAATTCATATGCCTTCCTTTCTCCGAAACTGTCATTTTCTTACTTTCACTAAAAAAATAATATCTACTTACTGCACTATAAAACAGATATTTGATTTGTACTATTGTTTGTACTATCCCTCTACTTATAAAGGAACTATGTTAACTTAGGACTCCATAGGAATATTTATATAGTCAAAGGATCCCTAGGAACTTTATTCAAATTGTCCACTGCAGTTGTTAAAAAACAAATTTTTAAAAACCTACTGTAAATTTCCAATTGTCTTTCAGATGAAAATACAGATAGCAAGAATGGATAACAACATATTAAAGATCTCCAGAATCATTATGACTAACATAATAAACAGCCATTTTTACCAAGGTGGGTACAGTCATAAGTACAAAATGAAACAACATGATAAAATAAACAGATACACATTCAACTGTGTAAGTACATGAGCATTTCTATGACTTTGAGCCACACAAGTCAAACTAGTTTTTTCTCTTTTGTTTTTTGGTATTTTGATATTTTACTTGGCTGGTTGTTATATTTTAGTGATGTTGCTCATAGTACAGGTAGTACTGTACCTGTATTATGCATTCTATTGTCCTTTATAAGTCTCTTTGCCAGTAACATAACTAAATATGGACAGTATCCAATACATACACTTTGAAAAATGCAAGGAGATTTTTAAATTAGAGGTTGTCAAATTTTATCTGTTAAAATGAACTTCTTAATTAAAGGTCTTTGATTTTCTATTAGGGAAAAGATTAAATTTTACTAATTTTTGTTGTTGTTAATCTCATCATACCATTTAACACTCCCTCTCCTCTCATTCCAACATTTCCTATAAAATCATAATCAAGAACCCTAGCTGGTCTAGCTCAGTGGATTGAGCGTGGGCTGCGAACCAAAGTGTCACAGGTTCGATTCCCAGCCAGGGTACATGCCTAGGTTGCAGGCCATAACCCCCAGCAGCTGCACATTGAAGTTTCTCTGTCTCTCTCTCTCTATCTCCCTCCCTTCCTTCTCTAAAAATAAATAAATAAAATCTTTTAAAAAATCATAATCAAGAGACTAGAGTAGACTTAAGTGCTCACGGGCAGCAGTGGCGGGGCTGTGTACTTCTCTAGGCATTAAGAGGGACAAAATATCTAGTTACACTTTTACTGGTATTAAGATTGAATAGTGGGTTCAGTATTGCCAGTTTAATCTATCATTGCAAAATTCCTCAGCAAGAATACATCCTAACAATCATGCTACAACAAATCAGGTTGGTTACTCCTTGTGATGGCTGTTATTCCTCCTACTATACCACTGCATGTTCAACAAGTGTCCTATTGAAAATACATTTAAGGTGTTTCCAATATTTTGTTATTGCAAATATTTTGCAATGAACACTTATTCTCATATATTATCTTACATATTCCCACTGACTTTGGATTAAATTTCTAAAAGTTGGATAGCTGGATTGAAAGATAAATGCTTGTACAGTTTTGCTTGAGAGTGATAAAATTCCTTCCATATGGTGCACATTCTCACCATGTGTAACTCCTTTATGATAAACATGAATGACAAAATCACATAAGGTATTGCCTAAAAATGAGGAAAATCTATATTTAAAAATATATATCTTTCAAATCAACTGCAGGAAAACTATCTCTAGAAATGGTTATTCTGTTTATAAGCAACTGAAAAAATGGAAGTAGCTTCTTGTTGATATTAACCTAAAGTAAAGTATAAAAATATAAGCACTGTTATTACTTTTGAGAATTGTTAATATATTAGTAAAGTGTAAAAATATTGAATGAAAAAAATAATCACAAAATATTAGAACTGGAAAATATATGTAAATCCTAACATGTAAAAATATGAACACTAAAATTCAAGAGGTCGATTTTCTCAAATGTATAGAATAGGACCCCACATTTCTTATCTCCAATTTAATTTTATTTCTGCTTGGACTTGAAAATGACTATCTTAAAGGGGTTATTTATAATAAAAAATTAAATTAAAGGTTGTCTTTGTGGACAAATATCTAAATTTAAATAAATAATTCATTCCCATAACAGCTTCAAAGAAAGTAATTTGGAATATGGAGACATGATATTTTATGCTTTAATATAAATTTAAGCCATTAAAATATAATGTACTCCCTTATTAATTCATTGAGCAAGAATTTATCTCATACTACAATTCTAGGTGTGTGTATGAGTATATATTTGTGGTTGCTATTGGTAATTATTAATTTTGAGGTCAACTTTATGACATCAACAGAAACCCTGTTGTTAAGTAGTTATTAAAATCACTAAGATTTAAAACAGCAATTCTGAATCCACAAACCTTCCATTTGGTTATATAAAGTAAATTAAAAATTAAAAGTTTAATTATTATTTTATTCCAAATATATTAACTATTCCATTAAGTGTTTAATTAGGATTTCCTTCTTTAAAATAACTTTTGTTTTACAGTTTTCTTTTAAAATTTATAATGATCTTCTAACAGGATTTATATTTCCATAATAGATTTTAAGATAACCAAAATCACAAGTCCATGGTGCCCAGCAAGTTCCTTGCACAAACACAAACTGGGGACTGAAAAGCCTCAGCACAGCCTAAAGCTTATCCATGAAAGCTAAATGACTAGGATCAGAGTTGTAGAATATTGTGCATTTATTCAATACTTACCAGAAGGATGAAGATTCTGTTCCTCTAATAATTCTAGATCAAGCATTAGATCATCTTCATCCAGTTCACATGATCCCAAATTATTTAAAACATCCTGAAGAAAAAGCAAAATCGGTAGTTAGGGAACAAAACAAAACACTGAAAAGCTGAGAAAATATTCACATGCAGATGTCATGAAGCAAAAAAGAAATCAAATTAGAAGTGAAAAGTTTTAACTGATATCCAGAAATTTTTTCACTATCTTTAGGATTATCAGCCCAATAAAAATTCCAAGAATTATCACAAAAAATCTTAATTGTTATAATTATTTACATGTTAGCTTTTTTAAAGGTTGTATTTATTTATTTTTAGAGAGAGGAAGTGGGGAGGAAAAGAGGGAGAGAAACATCAATGTGCGGTTCCTCTCCTGCACCCCTACTGTAGACCTGGCCAGCAGCCAAGGCATGTGCCCTGAGTGGGAACCAAACCAATGACCCATTGGTTCATAGGATGGTACTCAATCCACTGAGTCACATCAGCCAGGGCTGCATTTTAGCTTTTTAAAAGCCATGTATAATTAACAGAAGTATATATGTAAGCAGCTATAAAAAATATTAGAAAATGGGAAAGCCTTAATCAAAACTTCTTTAACGAACATGAGAAAAGACGAGATTTTACTTACTGAAATGCACAAAAATTATATAAAAGGTGTCAAATGTATAGAAGTCTGTGAACTGAAAGTTTTCTAATATTTATCTAACATTTATCTTTCAAATCTTTGTAGCATTCTTGTGACACATTTAATAAATTATTTCTCAAACAAATTTTGTACAGTGCCAACTGTGAGACATTATTTTAGACCTTATCTGGAAGTGGGGATTCAGATATCACTATTCAATCACTTGTTTAGACTAGAAGGGATGAATAAAAGAAATAAATATCAATTTAGATTAAAAGTTAACTATTGATATTCATGAGGTCACAAACATCAGAGCTAGATATTCTTTCTTTTTAAGAGGGCAAACAGCAAAGTAAACTAAAAGGTTACATTGAGAGGTCGAAGATAAATAACTTCTTGCAGAGGTAGGAATTCTTGAGTGAGGAATACAGAAATGAGTTTTGTATTTGTATGTATAGACAGATAGTAAACATTAAGAAAAGTAAGAATTTACATTTAGGGACTAAGGGTGAAAATAAAACAGTACAAAAAGGACAGGAAGAAAAATCTAAATACTAAATGATGCCACATCTACAAATCACTTTCTCCACTGATGTGAATGCTACCATAATTCACATTTAAAGAAGTAAATATTTATTAGGAAAATCCTAATAATATTGTCAAATGGACACTGAACACCTTAGTTCTTGGAATTAAAAGTAAGGACACTATAGGCACTGACTAGCATAGCTCAGTGAATTGAGAAGCAGCCTGAGAACCAAAGGGTCACTGGTATGATTCCCAGTCAGGGCATGTGCCTGGGTTGCAGGGCCAGGTCTCCAATAGGGGGCATACAAGAAACAACCATGCACTGATGTTTCTCTCTCTCTCTTTCTCCCTCCCTCCCTAAAAATAAATAAATAATCTTAAAAAAAATAAAAGACTCTTAATAAAAAAGGATACTCTCATACATAAACTATTCTCACTGTAAAAAAAATAGAATTAAAGCCCTGGCTGGCATAGCTCAGTGGATTGAACGTGGGCTGCAAACCAAAGCATCGCAGGTTCGATTCCCAGTCAGGGCACATGCCTGAGTTGCAGGCCACAGTCCCCAGCAACCACATATTGATGTTTCTCTCTCTCTCTTTCTCCCTCCCTTCCCTCCTTAAAAATAAATAAATAAAATCTTAAAAAATAGAATTAAACATTATTAAACTTTAGAAATGTGTTATTCATGAATACAGCACAACAGTTTCAAAAGTGATAAATATAACCAAATCTAAGTGTTTCTTTCTGCAAATGAAAGTTACAAGAAAGTATTTTGTATTGTGTAACATTGTTCTGCATTGTATTGTATTGCATCTGTACTAGTTTCAAAGTAACTCATAATTTAAACTATATATAAAATCAACTGTTTATTGGAAAAGTACACTGTGTCAGAACCCTGGCCCATGTGGCTCAGTGGGTGGGCATCTTTCCACAAACCAAAAGATCACAGGTTCAATTCCCCATCAGGGACACATGACTGGGTTGAAAGTTTGATTCCCCAGACAGGGTTAATGCAAGAGGCAGCCCATTGGTGTTTCTCTTTCACATCAATGTTTCTCTGCCTCCCTTTCTCCCTGCCTTCTCCTCTCTCTGGAATCAATAAAAGAAAAAAAAATTAAAAGATACACACATATATGCATATACATATACATATACATATACATATACATATACATATACATATACATATACATATTATGGTGTGTCTGGTAAAAGTCCAACCACACCAACTATTGTTAATATGATGAAACTGGTTTGCATGACATTGATGTAACTCGGCAGCCAAGGAGAGTGGACTGGAATGTGCATGCCTGAACGTGACAATTTCACTGTATTAGTTAGTGAGGGCAATAGATGCAGTTGAGTGGGCGTGTGTACTGTGTGACCATCACATTCAAAATGACTGCACAGAACAATAAATCTGCGTCAGATTTTGCATAAAGCTTGAACATTCCTCCATGGAAATTATTCAGATATTCAGAAGGCCGCAGCTATGGGCAACTAGTGATTGGCAGCTTCATCATGACAATGTGCCCACTTATGCATCATGTCTCATACAGAGTTTTTGGCTAAACATCAAAATCATCCAGGTGACTCAGCCCACCTAAGCCCAGATTTAGTGCCCTATGACTTCTGGATTTTCCCAAAACTAAAATCCTCTTTGAAAGGAAAGAGATTTGAGACCTTCTATGAGATTCAGGAAAATACAATGGGGCAGCTGATGGTGACTGGGAGAACTGTGTGAGGTCCCAAGGTCCTACTTTGAAGGGGATTGAGATATCATTGTCCTATGTAGAATGTTTCTTATATTTTATATCTTCTTCAATAAATGGCTCTATTTTTCATGTTACATGGCTGGATATATTCTGGATTGGTCATATAATATAAATATAATAATCTATATATTATGATATGGATGTGTACACACACACATGCTGTGGCAGGGGTAGCTCCCCAAGAGTAAGTTGCTTATTTATATAGCATCGAAAAGATGTTATAAGATATAGACATCAAAAGATAAGCAGCCATCCTCAATATGCAAAAAAATAATTTGAAACAACAACAAAAATATAACTGAAGTTAGATGGGGAAAAGGCAGAGTTTGAAGAAGGGAAATTTTGTAAAAATACTATGTTTAGTGTTTATTAAGCATTTTCCAAATGGGAGAATCTTAACCTGATAGTCAAGAATACATTGGTTAAGGGTTTTCAGGAACAACTTTAAAGGACACATGGACAAAACAAAGGTGGGGTGGAAGCAGGGGAGAGACATGGGGATGGCTGGGGTGGGGGGAGTACTGGGGGGATGCAGACAACTGTATTTGAGCAATAATTTTGAAAAAAGAGAATACAATGGTTAAAAATACTGTTCTATAATGAAAGTATAATATGATCTAGCTTCAATTGGTTCTAAGTAACTTTATACTTAGATGTTAAATTTCAATGACCAACATTATGGTCTTCATCGTTTCCAACCAAAATGTATATATGGAAGAACTAATCACCTAGTACATTAGAATGTGACTGTGTTTAAAGATAGTAATGTATGAAATTTTCAGAATAAATTCCAGTTGAATCAGGTCCCCTAATTCAATATTGCATGTTCTTATAAGAAGAGGGTATTAGGACACAGACATCACAGAGGGATGATGATTTGAGGACACAGCAAAAGGCAGACACCTGCAAGCCCAAGAGAGAGGCTTCAGGAGAAACCAAATCACCTACACTTCAATCTTGTTCTTCTAGCTTCCAGAACTGTAAGAAAGTTAGTTTCTGCTGGTTAAGCCACACAGTTTGTAGTATTTGTTCTGGCAGCCCCAGCAAATTAAAACAACCAACAACATTTAGAAAGTAACGAAGGTTTAAACAAAGGAAAAAGAAAATAAATGAGTTTCTGGCATATGCCTATCACTTTTTTTTTTTTGCTGCTATTGTGTCAAGAACAGACATCTTTCTCACTGTAAGATTCTGTGGTTTTCACAGTATTTCTTCCTTTTATTCAGAACCACCCCACCTAATCCATCTAGACATAGAAAAGGCACCAGGTTTTTACATGAGTCAAATCCCATTTGGATGTAGTTTATTTGTAGATAGTCCAAAATGAGCATGTTAACCAAACTTGCTGACCAAAGTCCTTTCACTGAAATGAGAAAAAGGTGTTTTTTATTGTTGTTTGTTTTGTGATGGACATTGCAACATGCAAAATGCTGTTATCACAGGGACCTTGAATTTCATTGCATGGCTAAGACCATTGAAAGTCTATTTGAAAAATGAAAAATGAAAAGAAGTCATCTGGTTCATGATTCCAGCAGTTGCTAAAGTCCAGAGAAATATACAATATTTTCAAGGTTGGATTGCTCAACCTTCTTTTGAATTTTGACAGTTAATTCATACTCCCATAGTTCAAAATGCTTAAACCCTGCCACTGCTTTTCCAACATTTAAGAAAAATAACACCAACAAAGTGAAGAACTTAAATTTGGAGAACTCATTCCACTCTCTCAATTTTATTCTTATTTTGTAGGTGACCCTTGACATTTAGACTAACAGGGGTCCATTTACTATTGGTCTAGATAAACTAATTTGAAAACTACTCATTCGAAACTGCCTCGCTTTGATAACTTGCTTACTAAGCAACCTTCTTATACTGTGGAAAGAGCCTTTGAAGCTGGTGAAAATTCATAATAAAAGGAAAGTAGATGCAGCAACATGATATGTTACAGAAGAAAAATCAATGTGAACTTATAAACCTGAAAAGACATATGTTTTCCAGATCTCCTTAAAAGAGACTAATAGCAGCAATAATATTCCTGCCCTCTACTAGCACTTATGGGCAAACAAAGTATTATTGCCCAATGCCTACCAATAAAATAAAAAAAATTAAAAAACAGACTCAGTTATTATGAAAAGA